GTAGTGATGCAATTATTCATGATAATAACAGGTATAGATAATCTCAGTATATAAATTAATAAACTGGTCTCAATTGCTGGGTCGTAATTATTTTTTCTTTAGTTGTGATGCCGCGTTTATGTTATAATATTAATAAAATTATGAGTTGAATTACATTATATGTGGTTGAGTTGTAAATTAATTCATTATGTATCTTTCTTTCTTTTAATTTCATTTTTAAAATAGGAGACATGATAAAAATTATGAAAAAATGTTCCCACAAATTTTATTAGATTCCTACGCTATATGCTTTGGGATGGAGGGTTGTGCCGGACCTATAAATAAACATAGACTTGTTCATGATTCCAATAAAATATTTTTTTTCTAGAATTATATTGGAAAATTCAATCAGGAGTAATAACATTGAAATATTCGTTTTAGAATTTTCGATGAATTCCCTTGTAATATATTTTTTAAAAAAAATTCGTTGGAATTTTCTCATTTTATTGGAGTAAAGGTAGGCTCCAAATCAATAAGAAAAATTTGCATTATATGTAATATTGTGTGCAACTAATTATTTTGAAAATTGTTGAGCCTAAAAGTATCTTATAAAATAAATTATACATCCATGTTAAATAAATTCATTAAGTATTAAATAACATACTATAAACTTGTGGCATAATTATCTTACATAGATCTGAAAATTCATACTAAGAAAAAACAAACAATAGATGTGAATATATAACTATCACCAATATTAACCATGTGAATTAAAAGGAGAACAAACGAGTTTTATGTTAAATTATTATTCAACTAACACATAAATTCAATGAGTATGAAAATGAGTTAGTTTCTTAATATTTTCTAAAACATTGAGAAAAAAATCTAAACCTTTTAATTTAATAATCAGTATAAAAGTACATTTTTTTATCAAATATATTATTATTATAAATAAATAAATTAATAAATAACTCTAAATTTTATTTTATCTTATATGATTATATTAGTTGTTGCCTAATAAATAAGATAACAACGTCATTATATGAAACACGTACAAAAAATGATGCAATACATATAAATGTGCTATAATTCTTTTAATAAATAAATTATTGTTTATCAATAGAATAAAAAACTAATAAAATAATGGTAATGCAATTGAGAAAAGAAAACGTCTGAATTTTCTTAGACAAGTATGAATACCAATATTTAGAAACAAAAATTTTTTTAAAAATAATAATTTTTTGTTGCTAGCGTTTAAATATATGGACTCTGTAAGAAATTGGATCTCATAATTAATGATCCTATATTATTAATTTTTAATTTTAAATAATTAAAAATTTAAAACTTTATAATACATAATGTAGATTTTAATAATGATTTCATAATAATAAAGTTCAAAGATGACTAAGAATCATAAAATAGAATTCCAATTCTTCTCATCTCAAATATTTTAACAAATGATATGCTTCTCAATATTGTCTCATTGTTTTGTTTTGTTTGATTTTGTCATTGGTGAAGAATAAAAAAATGATCTTTATCTTGAGTTTTCTAAACATTATGTATGATGCATAAAGTTAGACAATAAAAGCATTAAAAAAGTTATTGGACGCATAAATGTTACAAATCCAAACGAATGTGAAAGATATTAAGATAAATAATTCTAAAATCATTGCAAGAACTAGATGGTCAATGATTTGCAAACAATAGATTATATAGTTCGTCTATCTTCCAAATAAATGACATTGAAAATGAAACGTTGTAGCCTGATCAAAACATTTTTTATTGTTTGAATGAAGTTGACACTTCTTATAAGAATATTTATAATTTCATTGGTGTATTGTGCTTGAACATATGTGTAATTATTTTAAAGTATGTACTTTTAGGTAATATGTGATGATTTCAAAAAATAATATCGGGAAAAGTACATGTAATGGAGATTTTGAAAAGTCAACTTTTATTTAGAGATGAAATTCATTGCCATCCGTAGAACGATACATCAATGGGGGTAGGTATCAATTTATCTATATATAGACTGAGAATAATATAGTAGTTTATACAATGATAAAAAATAATCAACAATTTTAATGACACGATTGATTATTTTGCATATATATCCATGCATTGTTAGTAGAAATATAAAGATAATACAACCATGAAGTTTCACTATATGTTTGGCTAAAATATTTCTTAAGTGTTTAAATAAAATAGAAGTTTTGTCAAATAAATTAAGATGAATTTTGCGATACTAGTGTATCAACAATGCTTCTTATTAGGACGTTAAAACCAAAATAAATGAGATTGCTATTCAATCATCTAACATAAATAAATAAAAGAACTAATTCATGTATAATATATAATAGTCATTATTTAGTTATTAAGTGTTTTTGTTGGGGTTGTAATATGTTATTTAATTGTTTTTATATTAGGACATCGTTAAGATATTTTGGAAAAAATAATTTGTTCTACATTTTGTTTCATTAATTTGTTCTACATTTTGTTTCATTCTTGCAATGATGTATTTAATAAATTAATTTATTTATTTTACAAAACTTAATCGGCAAAAAATAATTACATTATGAACTCATTTGTTCTATGTTTTATTTCATTTTTGCAATGCTATTTTTAATATTTAATTAATTTATTTTACTAAATTTAATTAGCAAATACATTAAAAAAAAAAAATTTTAAGTTGGGGGACCACGTCCCGCTCATTCATATCAGACTATCCTTTCAACTTCCGCTCTAATGTGCGTATTTCATAGTCCCTTTTTTTTTCTTTTGATGGCTTAAGAATCGTTTGCATTTGTAGGAACGCAGTTACATTTGAATTGTTCGTTCAAATAATTTTAATTTAGATGATATCTACACCACTTTTATTTTATTGACACGTATTCATATTTATATTAATATTAACTATCTGAACTAATATTTATTTAATTTACTGATAACTAACAAAGACCTATTATTTAATGACATCAGTTGAGTTTTATAAATTTTTTTATCTTAAATTTTGTACATTAAAATTAAATCTAATGGTAGTGAAATTAGATATAAAATATTTTAAAAAACATGCGCAATGAATAACACACAAACATTATTCGTAATAAACAAATAAATAAATAACAACATGTTTGTAGAATATTTTTTATTTCATTTTCTACAACATACAAATTATATCTAATAATAGTGAAATTATATATAAAATGTTTTAAAAACATGCGAGATGAATCACACAAGCATTCTTCATAATAAATAAATAATATAATGTTTGTAGAATATTTTTTGATTCATTTTCTACAAGTTGAAAAATCCAAAACATATGATCATGATTAAATTAATGCAATCTAAATATTAGATTACATAATATATAGAGTATTTTGTAAATACCTTTTGTATTTATTAGCAATATGGCTATAACATAAAAATATGACTTAAATGTTAAATGCTATGTAGTTAATTATTTTAGACTTATAAAATTATGTTCATAAAATATTTTATTTTCTAATACGTAAATCAGTCAAACATACTTAACAACACTAAACAAAGTCCGAAATAAAATACGATCTTAAGATTTTTATTTTTATTTTTTAAAAAAATATTAACACAACAACGCAGTAACACGTCTAATGGAAGCCTAAAACCATGAAAGTCAGTTTGGAAGTTAAAATCAAATAGAAGTTAACACAAGTTTGTAAGTTTTGTTAGTGGCTTGAATCGTTACTTACAAGGCAAAGTATTTTTTATTTAATAAGATATATATGTTGTAGTTTATAAATACGCTACCATCACATTCACATATCTTTCACATCTTATTCAAACAATTGCTTACACACTTCTAAAGAAGGTATAAAAAACATAATGGAGTATCAAAGTCCGTGTGATTCGATATTATGAAATGACTGCTTTCAAGATCGAAATACCGTTCTCTCGGAATTGATATTGAGGTGATTCTTTTAAGACGTTTTTGTTTATAAATTTCGTTATTATGCATATGCTATTTAATTTTGTTTCATAATATTTGTGTTTTTAACGTTTTACAGGAATATAGAATCCATGCCTCAGGAATATTGAATCCATGCCTCAATCAAAAAAATTCATGTAGATTTGTTCAAACGTTACAAGGTTGAGTCATGGGTATCCACATTTGATTGTAGCACCAGCGACAGACATAAAACTAGGCGGCAGATATAAAACTATCATGACAAGGTTGAAGATAAATTTTATGGTGAAATTTCAAATGAAAATTTCCATGTATAACTTCAAAAGTTTTATCCATTTGGTTAAAGGCTCTTTTTGTAAGAACGCATTATTGATCGGTAATTATATCTTATTAATATCAAAAATAAAATATATATTTTAGTTATTGAGTATACATGAAGAACTTTGTATTTACGCATGACCAACTTTACGTCGTTGTTTCACAAGTTACAAATGAGAAATGGTTGAAAATATTAATTTGTGACGATAAAAACAGTTCAAAACTTTACGTCGCTATTTCAGAGTTACAAATGTGAAAGGATTAAAAATATTAATTTGTGACGATAAAAACAGACTAAAAACGAAGAACGTTGAATATAAGAAAGTGTTCAATAATATTTAATCGTTCTGCATTTGTATGAATTACAAATGCTCTTTTAATTATTTTTTTTGTAGCTCCCGTGCAAATTAGTTACAAATGGGAAATGGTTGAAAATATTAATTTGTGACGATAAAAACAGTTCAAAACTTTACGTCGTTATTTCAGAGTTACAAATGTGAAAGGATTAAAAATATTAATTTGTCACGATAAAAACAGACTAAAAACGAAGAACGTTGAATATAAAAAAGTGTTCAATAAAGTGTTCAATAATATATAATCGTTCTGCATTTGTATGAATTACAAATGCTCTTTTAATTATTTTTTTTGTAGCTCCCGTGCATTTGCACGACAACTGTACTAGTAACTATAAAATACAAATGTGAAGAACAAATATATCCCATCCCTGATGGGATAATGTTTTTTGTTTCATTTCATTTTCTATATTCAATATCGTGTTTTATTTTTATATTTCATCTCGTGTTTCATTATGTTTGGATGCATAAAATGTGCACAAATATGGGGTCAACATAGAATGAAACGCAATATTAAATACAAAACTGAAAGGGAAAATCTAGCTAGGGCAACACCAAACACAAATTAGAGTTTCCTGCCAAATGAAACAAACAAGAACAATGTTGGTCTGCATTGGGCCAATGTTAGGAAACAGATGGGAAAAATACTCCTCCTTTTCAATCACAGGCAATCCCCTTGTAGCAAACAACAACGAAAGAGTGAAAATGATTAGTTTGTCGTCAAGACTCAAAACCACTGATTATGAATCGTGGGCATGCGTATCAGAGCTTGGTTTTCCGGCCCACGGTTTAGTCTGGACCTCATCAGCTGCTTTGTAGTGCCTTCTTGTGTGATTGGGCTTTATGCTTCTCCATTCGCTTTTGCTCCGCAAGAGCAGACCTGTGAGGCAACAAAAAAGAAAAGGGTAAATCAATATTCTTCAATGAAAAAAACATTAAAAATCATATATAACTCAAAATGCCAGGTAGCAAATTGATTGAAAAATAAAAAACAAAATGACACAAAATATAATAGATGAGGAAAGATCATTCTTTGCCACCATTCCTAAAATCGCACTGATACATGCAGTGATAAAATATAGATACTGATAAAAATAGGAAGAAGGAAATTGCAAATGATCAGATGTGTGGCTTACAACAACTCAATCTTTTTCATAGTATCGTTTGAAGGAGGAACAGGGACGTATGAAGCAGCATCAATAATCTCCTGTCTCATTGATTAGGAAACGGTCAGAAGTGCTGACAGAAATAATTTTGTTCAGAAGGCCATCAACTAGTACAAAATCATAGCTCATGACATTCCTATTATTGAGCCCATGCATTCCAGCAGAAAAGCTAAATGAACTTGTGTTTTTTTCCATATGTACCTGTAATTTCTTTTTTTGGTAAGTGAAAACTTGTAACTTCGCCAAAGCATCTTCGAAGTTACCTCTGCACAAAAAAAATAAAAATAAAAATGACATTAACTATTGCTCTGGCATATCAAAAACAGAAAGAACAATTAATAAAGTGGTTGTTAGTCTTCACTGTTGAGTTCTAGTCTTTGATGAAGTAATCACTATCTCTCCATCTTTGTTGATCCGGTTTTTCTCCTATCAAGGATAGAAAGTAAGAAAACTTTGGAATGATCGTGTCAACACTACCATAAAGGGTCATACAATCTTAAGAATCCATGTCAAAATTTATTATATAAAAAAAAAAAAGGAAGGAGAAGAAGAAGAAAATAGATGTATATCAGCAGCAATAACAATAATAATACAATAGGGGTATCATAAGATTTTCTCCACAAACTCAAAAATCGACAATGATGAACTAGTCCACCCATATCAAACACTTTGCATGCGTGCGTGTGCTCGCGTTAGTTGTTCATTACATAATTAATAAATCACTGTTTTAATATGTGCTAGTGTGCACTAGGGAAAGGTTCTAATCATATTTAAAATCCAATAACCAAAATAAATATCCTACCGTTTTTTTTTTTACTGGAATCCTACCTGTTTTTGTATACTATTTGTTTCCGAAGAAGTGACAGGATATAAGGAGCATTTCTTATCAGGCCATTAAATTTAATTTTTGTTTTGCTTTGGAGATCAACAAGTCTCTATGAATGCTTATTTTTTAATAAGATTGGGTGAATATCAATCAATCAATCAACAAGCCGTTAAAATCCTACTAAGTGGGGTCGGCTATATAGATCACATGTCGCCATCGTGCACGATCATAACACATACCATCATTCAAATTTATATAGTTTAAATCATTTTTTATTGTCTTCTTCCAAGTTTTCTTAGGTCTACCCCTCCCCCTTTTAATTTGCGTTCTTAATTCTAATGTTTCTACCCTTCTCACAAGGGCCTCGAAGTCTCTCCTACGCACATGCCCTAACCATCTTAATCGTGATTCTCTCATTTTCTCCTCTATGACCGCTACCCCAACTATATTTCTAATACTTTCATTTCTAATCTTATCTAACCTAGTATGCTCACACATCCATCTCAACATTCTCATCTCTGTCACTTGCATTTTTTATTATTTTCATATTTAGTATCCCAACACTCAGATCCATAAACCATCATCAATGGAATTGCCGTTCGATAGAACTTGCCTTTCAATTTCAACTGGTACTTTACGATCACAATTACGGAAAAGTTTGACTTGTTATCTAAGATAAGGGTATCGAATTACGGAAAAATAGCTCCAAAAGCGAACAGATTTTGAGGAACATTTCAAATAATGATGAACTGTAAGTCTATAACCTTTCTTCAAAGTATACAATAATATGGCTAATGACTAAGGCGTAATAGAATATCCCACACAAGCATTGTTACTTCTACAAGATTGAACTACTTGATAATAAAATTGGGCCAACTTTGGCCCGACAAAGTTAGCAGATCATGATAATGGAAAAGTACAAATACATTCCATGTTTGATGCTATATTTATTGGCAAATCATCTGAGGCAAGATAGTAAATAAAGTACATGGACAAAGCAACTCAAAAGACAACAGAAAATAAGCAGGCAAAACAGAGATATAAGAAAAAGTAGACTCACCATTTGCATAATCCTCTCCCTCACTTTTTCATTTAACCATAGTGCATTTTTAACATTAAACCGCATTTCAATCTTGGAGTTAACTGCAGTGAAGCAAAGTTAATCACTAGCTGTACAGCCCGTATGTTAGCCTGAGACCCACCAAAAAAAAAAGAGCACATATGGCTAAAGTAAAGCGGCTCATACCTATGTTGTTAGCATTCTGGCCCCCAGAACCACCACTTCTTGCATAGCCTATGGTAACATGCTCTGCAGATACAAACCAAATATGTTGAGATTGTAAACAAGTTTCATTGAATTTCTAAACTCCAAAAACGATCTTAATGGCCTACTTACTACGATCGACTAAAAGTTCTAAATCCATAAATAGAGGAACACTTTGAACTAGCAATTACTGGATGGTGGACCAAAACCGAACAATACAAGAAGCTTGCAATATTTTCAAAATACTCTTCTCTATCCTTCCACAACTACTCACCAAAAGCAACAGAGGGGAAATATAAGAGGAGAAATTACAAATCTATCATGGAACAGATTCACGTAATTAAGAATTAGGCAGCAAAATGAATTTGCCTCAGAGTAATGTGCTGTGCAAGAGTCAATCATTCCAAGTTCAAGAATCTAGAAATCCTTTTCATACATTATCAACAGCTCATATGCATCATAATCAACAAATGGTTGATGTAGAACTCCATTACTTAGAGCTTGAGTATATACTATCCATAATCCCGCTCTAAGCAGTAATGAGCTTGATGTCGATGCTCGATTCCATCCATTTAAAAGCCGATAAGATCGTCTTTTACCCGTAAGAACACAACCCAACATAAATTCACAAACCCAATTGCTAAAACAACCAAAAACGAATGAANAAAAAAAAAAAAAAAAAAAAACTCTGAGGACTCAGCTAAGCTACATAAGTACATAACAATTGCGGGGAAAAATATTTACCGAGCGTTAATTTTGGGACGGGCTCGACACCACTCCCGTCAGCTTTATAGCGCTCTTCGGCCTGATACAAGAGCTTCTGAACCTCGGCAAGCCGTGCTGATTGTTTCTTCTCTTTTCCGCCGGATTTCGTGGAGGCGCACCTCACGTGAGCCATGGACGCCGGAAAATCCGAGCCGAGGGCACCATTAGCTTGAGAAATCGTGCGATGTGCGTGATTGAAGATTTGCGAGTGGAAAGTAGGGCGGGAAATCATTCGACTGAGTACAGTCGTCTTCATCGCTGCCGGAATTGCGATTGTCGAAATATGAAAATGAATACCAGTGGGGGTTTTGTGCTTCGTTGTTAGACGATCGCGAAAGAATTCTTAATGGGCCGGGCCCGAGTATTGGTTCGTTTATAAGAAAAAAGGAAAAAAGAAACAGAAAATGCAAAGTTAATATAAAATGTTTATTACAAGATTTATATTTAAAATTGGTTTTTAAAAACTAAATTTTAAATAATTCCTAGGGAATTGTACTATTACTTTTATTTAAATAATAATTATCAATGTAAACCTCGTTCCTATTATATGCTTGATAGAAAAAATTAATTGATCAAGAAATAATTTTATTATTTTTTTATAATGGTGGATATAATTTTATCTCAATTTTATATATGCGGCAGTGAGGTCTCATAAAAACCGATATCACGTATAAAAATTAATGAAATTTAATATTTATTATTTAAATTAGTCAAATGTTTTATAACATTAAAAGTTATTGAAACGTGAATAAAAGTTCAGGTATATATGAAATAAATCGAAAAAAGATTGACAAATAGAAATCAATATAGAGGATTACAAACCACTCAAAATCGATACATAAATTTGGAGAACTCTTAGTCATGTATGATTATAAAATACCAAAAGTTAATACATAAATAAACTCGATTAAATCGACATAAGTGTATAGAATGTTGACTCCATTATAGAGTCAGCTGTTTAATTGATATTTTGTTACTAATTAATTAAAAAACGCAAATAACTTAAAAATTACCATATTCTCTAATTATTACGGCAAGTAAAATATACTATGTTCTCTAATTACTTAAAAAATACAAATAACTTTTTTTAATTGATATTTTTTACTTGCCCCGTATAGAAGGTTGACTGCATTATTGAGCCAACTGTTAGTTGATATAAGAAGTAAAATTAAACCTAAGTAAATCTCAACCGACTTCGATTTGCTGGCTCAGAGGGTGGCGTTGGCAAAGCTCGTTGATAGCTAGAGATGGTGTAGCGTCCCGTTCGAATATTAGATTTTTCTGAGTTTATTTTAATTAATGGTATTTTATTTTATTATTTATATGCCTTGATTATGTGATTAGATATTATATTATTATGTGGATAATATAATTATATACCTCGTTCGATTTTACTTTATCGATCGCCATTCGAATTTTCGGTTTAATCGCGTAAGCCGAATTTTTGGCCGTTTTGATTTATTTTTGAACCGTTGCGACCTGAACTTTAAACCAACCATCCTAGACCTTATGTTGTGGTCTTTTCGACCCTTAGGGTCAGCCTTCTCGTGTTAGTCAGCAACGCCGCGACTGGCATATGCGCCCGATTTTCCAGCGCTAGGACAATTCACAAGACAATGGTTAAAATATGGGCATGTAAATCAAAGTCTCCTGATGTAAGAATAATGCCAGGTGGTCTAAGATGTTTTTAAAGTAAGATTCGGTCATATGAAAGTTGTAGAAACAACTAGCATGTCCATTAGGAATCATGTGCTTAAGATTATTATCTTATTATGCAAGAAGTAAGAAATTGCTCTTACTTAAGAGTTGACCAAGAACATGTGATTTCTCCATGTGAAGACTCGATTGGAATTAGGTGGGTGCAGCTACCTTCAAGTTTTTTTTTTCTGGAAATAAATGCCAAGACCACTCACCAATTCAAGTAAATTACACATGCGTATATTAAAACTAGTTTGAAGACTTTTCCCCATCACATGTGCCTAACATAAAAAAAAAATTAGGGGACAAAAGTTGACTAAACCAAGATTCCCTCTTGCATGTGAGGTATACCAGATCTTAATTGGTGCAACTAATCTCATGCACGGTCTGATAAATGGTGCAAGACATTCCAGTCAACGAAAGAAGAACATGCACATACGAGGGGGGTCAACCAACGTGCCTAATTGAATTCTCTTGTTTTCATTCGGGACTTAGCACTTTATTAAGTCCTATTCTAGCTGAAGTCTGTCTTAGACTAAGAAAAACACGAGCAAAAACCTTGAGAAATTAGAAAAAGACGAGAGCAATATAGCATAAGTCCATTTATGCGCAAGAAAGAAAAATAGAAGAGAGGAACGAGTTCATTCAATTTCCAATCATTTTCTCTCAAGGCTCAACAGTTACATGAGTTTCTTGGGTTAGTAGAAGTCTTTTAAACTCTAATCCCTAGCCAAAAGTCAACAAGGAAAGCTAAGGACATTAGAGAACCAAACAAGCCGTGAGTCGCGTGCAACCGCCGAGCGCCACCGTTTCTCCCCCGTTATCTCGTAAATTTTCGAAAGTGGGTAACTCATTTCGAACCCTCTCGTTATTCCGGTCGTATTCGTATATTACATGACATATAAATATATATATATATATATCATACGTGTTTCCGAATTATTTGCTTGAAGTCGGATTTTGGTTAGAATTATTATCGGCTCGTATATGTCGTTTAGTTTATCGTGTTATGCTCGTGAACTCGTTAAACTGAATAACATGTCGTTACTATGTTACTCTCAATATACTCGTTTTATTTGCTGTCGAAAAAGTCATATTAAACGTGGTCGAGCTTAGAATATTCGTCATATGTGTTCATGTTATTTCATGTGAAATCGCGTTTCTACTGTTCTGTTGTGACGCCGTTTAGGCCATCATAAACCTGTTCTTTGAAAATATGGTCTTCACATAAAATGTAGTATGTTCAGTTTTCTAAATCTGGGATTTGAAATTTCTCGATTCCGAGCTATATCGATAAAGTTATGATTTTTACAAGATTTGTGTGCGTCCAGTTTTTCTGGTTACCCGGCAGCTTATATATTTGAATGTGTGATCTGTTTTTCATGTCATAATGTGCTCGTATGAACTTATTCCCTTCATAAAAGTTGTAGATCTGTTTCTTACCTTTCAAATGAGATAAATTTTATATCAATACGTGCTCTGTAGCTCGAGTTGTTCTCGTATGAAGTTAGACATGCATGAGTTGGGACTTATTACTTTGGCAGACATCTGATATGGAATGTGAACTGATTTTACCCTATCCAAATGATCTTAAATGTTTCTTTGTTCTAAATAAAAGTTGTAGAGGCATGCGTAAGATTTAATTTGAAACTTTAACCATGTCATTTGAAGGTCTGTAGCTCGGTCTAGGTTGTAAAAACTGAAGTGCTGTCCATATCACATGTTAGTTCTTGACAGATTTGCTGAACCAAATGTTTTGTGTTTAAACTAATTAAAAATGTATTTATTTGCCAAAGTGACCTTCATGAAAGTTGTAGAAATTTGAGTTATCTATCATGTCGTTTTTGAATTTCATTAAAATCATGTCTGTAGCTTCAGTTAGAGAGTAATTACTGAGGGCTGGTCAAGTGCATTACCCCAGTTTTGGACTGTGACTCATTTTTGAATGTTTGTTGATTTATCACCTGCTAAATGACCTTATTTGCTTTTGGTGTCTTCATAAGAATTGTAGATTAGTATCTTAGTATGCCAATGCAACTTGATTCATAATCATATGAGTTGTGTGCCGAAAGTTGTGTCGGTTTTACTAACGCTGCCCGGGTTAAGTTTTCAAAATCTATGTGATATTTTCGGAAATGTGATTTTCCTTGATTTAATGCCTCCTTAAATGCTTACGTAAGCTTAGTTGGACTATGTGGTTGTCAAATAGTCTTTGATAGGGCTATTTTATTAAATGTAGGTGCTTAACGAGTCGAACTCGCCGCCTACACTCAATTTGTGATTTTGTCTCGATTCCGACCAGGTGGGTTTTTATTAAAAATTTTCTATGCAATAAATAGTTTTCTTTACTTGTGTATGATTGATGTATGTCTATGAATCATGTAGCCTTCGATGTGAGCTGTACCGGCCGTCGAACGGTTGTCCCTGTATTTATGAAATGAAAACCCGAGGGGTTACTCCTACTGACTGGGCATCGATAGAAGCCCGAGGGGCATTCGGTGTATAAGCCCGAGGGGCATAGACGTAAAGCCCATGGGGCATTCGATAGAAGCCCGAGGGGCATTCGATACGTCTACTGGCAGTAGTCTATTGGTATAGATGTGCACATGAGTCTGAACACTGTGAATTTACGATGAAAATTTGGGGATACTTGATTGATTCTTATACTTGCTATGATCATACAACTTCTTTTACTGTATATACTATAAAAATTGTTTATTGCATAGTGGTGAGCACTACGATTTCCAACTGTGCTCATCCCCACCTGAAATTCACGTTTCAGGTTAAGCAAGGCAGGCACGATGGCGGAGTAGAGCGAGTGGTAGTCGGTCTATGAGACCGGTTATTAATTGATTTTTCTTCCGCTATAGTTATAACTATTTATGATTTATGTATTTTCGAACTTTGAGAATTTATGAGGTATTGAGATACTATTGGGAAGATGCCCCGTTGACATTGTTATGTCTTGAAAACTTATGTTTTATTTTGGGAACCCAATTTGGGCGAATTGATGATTTATGGATTTATGAATCCCGTTTTGGGAGTTAGATGATTTATGTTATGGTAATGACTTGAAATAAATGAGTAACGCCACAAATGGTTGAAATAAATTTTGAAAAAAATTATTCTGATTTTTCTAAAAGTCTGGAATTTCTTTAAAATCAAAGTGGGGCGTTACAGATGGCTTTAGTTTATAGTTAGTTTAGTATTTTTGTTATTTTATTCTTATTTTTGGTTTTAGTGTTTTTTATTAGTTGTTAATCTCTATTTGTGGAGTTTTTTAGTCTTTTTTTACGGAGTATTTTCGTTTTCATGACAATTTTTATTACTTATGGAGGGGAAACTCTTCTATTAAAGTGACTTTTTTGGGTCGTTTATTTTTGTTACTGTTGAACATGTACACGTCGTGTGTGACGTGGCATGTAGGAAATGAGATGCGTCTCATTTTGTTCTGTTTTTTTTTTATTATTTATTGAACTAATAAAATTTTATTTTCAAAATATCTGATCCCAAAATCATACTCAAAATATCCACACCCGAGTATTTAAAGTGCTGTCCAAAGTAAACTTACAAATGAGTTCAGACGACGTCGTCTCAACTAAAGGAAACGCACGTGTAAGAGAAAAACGACTTTTAGTCTAAAACATATCAGAGAAAAAATAAAAAAGAAAACAAAAAAAAAAAACAAAACAAAATGAGACGCATCTTATTTCCATATATCCTGCATACATGCCACGTCACACACGACGTGTACATGTTCAACAGTTACTTGACAATTAGAATAATCAATGTAACAAGTTGATTATTATAAGTTAGTAGTTTAATTTAATGTTAATTATTTTGTTTGATTAAAAGAAAAAACTAAGAAAAAAAAAGGACTAAATAAAAGTAATACACACACCACGCGCAACTGTTATGCGCCCGTCCCGTTGAGGCGTGTGCGTAGTCTCAGAAAATTCAACAATCGGCTTCTACAGTCAAACCCACGAAAAAACCCGAATATAAAAATTCATTTCCTTCTTTCATATTTGATCGAGGATTTTTCATCTATGCCACATTCCACCATTGGAACTCAAAGCTTCCCTATCGAGAAGGTTAATCATACATATTGATCTGTGGATTACGGAGAAAAACAAGTAAGTGAAAGTTTTTTCCCTTGTTGGTTGGGCCAATTGATCGCCATGTCGATGTCCGATTCCGATACGTCCTCGCAGGGGAGCGAGTACAAGAGTTTTCGTCAAATTAGCCGTGACAGTAAGTTGAATTCGATCCCTATGCTTCTTTTGTACGCCGTATGTCTGTTTGTTGGTGGGTTTGGTTGATTTTTTAGTTTGTTCGTTTATGCCATTTTTGGATGGAGTCTAATGATGTGGTTCTGTGAAAAGGATGTGGGTTGTGTGGAGGAATTAAGCTAATTTGCCATTTTCTGCTAATGATATGTTTTAGCTAGATTTATGGTGTTTGTTACTTGTGGAACTTGATCGCCATGTATTTATTCCCACCTTCTCTTATTTTTTTATCTTGGTTCTATGATATCACTCTAGCTCTCCTGCGTGGATGTAAGTTAGTTATGTGTTGGTAACTCTAACGACGGGCACATGCATTAACTTTGGCCACATGAACATAAATCCTGATATTTAGCTGATTTTGATACTTCCTTCTTAAGTTTGACTTGCTCAGGATTGATTGAATTCGTTTCGTGAATTATATGATAAGGTTAGAGATTCTAAATTTAAGTTTCATATCTCGAATAACCCTTGCTAAGGCAAGTGTTAGAAGTTATGTCTGTCCAACATCGATTAGTTATTGCGTACCCTCTCACTTTGTGCTAGCTTTTGGGCATGATTTATACCCAAACCCATTCATCATGGTCTCAAAGCATCCTAGTTTTTTTTTGTTTAGAGGCGATGTTGGGTTTGGACCCAACCCATTTGGTTTGGCACGCTGTGTGAGGGCGGGTGTTAGAATTTATGTTTGTCCCACATTAATTAGTTATTGAGTTGTTATTGTGTATAAGTACGGGCTGAATTTCGAAGAAAGGTAGCTGACAGTGCGGGTCGATCACCCTATCCCTTTGAACTAGCTTATGTGGATGAGTTCTGCCTAGGCCCATTTATCAGTAATATTGAAATACAGTTGCATGCTGTTTTTAGACATGACATGCGACCTTTTACTTGTTCACCCCTGGCATTCGGTTGCCCTCCGTGCTCAAGGCATATTTGGGGTTTCCCACCACTTGATGGAACATCTACTAGATTTTTTTTAGTTCGAGTAAGTTGGGGAAGATAATGATGTGGAGGCCAAAATGTTTGTGTGATTGAAGACAGATTGGGTCAATGGGTGAATGTAGTATGACAGTGGGAACACTGTTGCTTTTGGATAGGTTGGTGTTTCAATGGAGGATGGTAATTGGTCCTAAAATGGAAGGTCCAGAAGATTCTCGGAGTTACTTTCAGCTGCAAGAAAAATTTGGGATCTTTGTGAGGCTTCACAACAGCCTGATGCTTATAATTGCAAAACTTATGACAGTAGATTTATTTTGTTAATTTTTATGTAGTTAGAATGCTCATTGTACCTAGAAACTGATACGGAACGCTAGGATCAAGGATCCGGTTGACATTTTAGAACTAGATTCTACCTGTCACATTCTGTATCGTGGACAATATCTGGATAGTTATGAGATAGCAGCAAACACGGAGTGATAATATCTTCTTTGTTATTCACTTTTACAGGAATCCGTGTATCCTTTATTTCAGAATATTTTGGTGATGCCCTTTCAGAAGAAAGGAAAAGGAAAATAACAAAAACTAACCTATTTATGAAGAAAACGTCAACGAATTTGGAAAACTTTCTTATTCTTCTCCATTTTTGAATTCTTAGAAAAATTAATATGCCGCATGTTATAGAATTTTACTTATTTTTTATATTATTCTTATTCTTTTTTCTTTTGTTGGGTCATCTTTTAGTGCTTCAGTTTAGAGACTCTGTCTTCATCCCTTTCCCTGATGGGATCTAATAATCAAGCCCTGTTTAGGATACCAGTATGATAGCAAAACTACCCATAATATTGTTGTTAACATCGACTGTCCATTAAACTTATTAACCTTCTAAACTTGGAATCTGCTTTTGTTTTGGCCTATCTCAGTGATTTAAAAGGTTCTACCTAGGTGTGAGGTGAGACGAATCGATTCACGGCACTGCCTAGCGCTTCTAGATCGCCGGTCTTTCTATTTTTGACTGGGCACATATAATGATATAAATGTGTGATTGCTGCACTCCATTAATGTAATCCATTAGTTTGAAGCTAAAATCTAGTGTAGCACTATGTGATTTTTGGGTTGCATTGTGTGATTGTGAGGTTATTCTGATAATATGGATTTGTTATCCTTATATTTACATTATTATCAACTAGTACATTATATGATAAATCCTTATTCTGTAATGAATTATTTTAAGTTATATATCATTGTTAATATGTCCTTAACATGCAGGATTACTAAATGAAATGCTTCGATCTGCCAAAGCAGGGGACTCAAAGTCAACTTGGAAGGTACAGGAAACATCCGATCTATCTATTTCTATTTGAAAGTCGAATCAATTTCGTGGAGCTTTGAGCCCTTTGTCTTGACCTTTAGGAATCTAAGTAAGAAAATTGTTGCTTGGTTATTTTAAGTTCTTGTCTAAGATGTTTTTCAGAAAAACACCTCTCAAGTTTCTTGATATCCATGTACATTTCTCCCAACTATTTAAACACATTTTTTTGTAAAATCGTTTGTCAAGACTGATACACTTCTTTTTCATTAGTATCTTTCTTGTGGAAATAGAAGAATAGTCTTCAAGTTATCAAAGAATAGGAGCTTAATGTTGGAAGGCTTACGTAACAACAGTGAGAATTCTGTAGGAGTTAAGTGACACACAGCAATGTATTAAATAATGGAACGAGATTCGTTTGGTTGCTGTTGGGCTCATCTGATTGCCTGGTCGTCTGACTTATCATTTATGCCATGATAATATGACGTCGTCATATAATTATTATATAGGATTCATTGTAAATATAAAAATAGCTGCCAACAAATAAAAAGATATATTCTGAGTAAGAATTAAACAATCACTTACATATTCTGAAGTGGTAACTGTGAAGCTTTAAATTTCCATGATAGAAGTCATAAAAATAAAGAAACACGAAAGTGATATAGATAGAAAATCTGTTTTGAATGGTTAAACAAGTTATAAATTCATCAATTGCAGAAAAAGAAGAAAAGAAAAAAGAAATATTTTTCTGGGGGCTAATTGTGCTGAATTGATTACTGCATGGAGCTGGTGGGAGTGTGGTTTTGTCCTCTTTTAGTTAATTGTTAGGGATCTCGTCTCTTTTTTATAAGTTTCCATTCTACTTCTACATTCTTGAATAGTGACTATCAATGTGAAATTTTAACGTTGTAAACCAATTTAATAATTTTTCCTTCTAGCTAGCATTGTTTTCCTTGTCTGTCTTTTACGTGCTAAAGATCTACTAGTGAACTTCAATTAGTCTAATGGTTTTTGACGGGAAACTAGTCCATTCCCCTTTGGTGTGGAACTTGTTTGCCTTATTAGATTAATCTTTTTACCTCTTAAGACGCAATTTTTGTTCCATATCTTTTGCAAGATACTGAAATTGAGTAAAGGTAGTGTGCTTGTCAAATATGTTTAGTAGTTAATCCAGGACAATAATAACTTACTCGACCTTTTTAATGTTAATACTGACCACGTTCCCTCACATTATGGTCCTTGGTTTCTGTATTGATGGAATTATATCACTTGTTTTTAATGCTCTATCTTGTAATATCCCCTTCTAGTTTTTGTTTCCTTATTCTTTTGCCTTTCAGCTTTTGTATCTTTCTTAGTTTCTTAACCTTTTTGACATGCAGGTACTCATCATGGATAAGTTGACAGTTAAAATAATGTCTTATGCGTGCAAGATGGCAGATATCACAGAGGAAGGAGTTTCATGTAAGAAATAAAGGGCAGTCTCAGAGATAAATTGTACATTTCTTCTTTTTACTGCATGAGGTGTACTTTTCTTTCTGTAATGCTTTAGAGATTGATGATGAAAATATAATCTAAATGCTGAGCATAGATTGTGGATGTTTCTCATTAATATTTTATTTGCAAAGGAATGGTATTAAATTCTTTCAAATAATCAGATATTTTATGAACACATGTACTCATATCTTTGTGCCGCCAGCTGCATCTACAATTCGATATAGATTTGTGTCCTTAAGCTATCTACTTCTTCTTTTGCTTGCTTACGTTCCTTTGTTTTTCTGGCTGAATCAATACCCTGTGATTGCATTGCAACAAATTAGTTAACATATACAACAGTTTGATATGACTGCATAAACTCAGCCACTACTACCTGTTATTGTTTCCATTTTACATCAGAGAACTTAAAGTTGATGTCCTAATTGGATTGGAGCATTGGTGTGATTGAAGAACTGATGAAAAGTATCAAATAACATGGGGCAAATAGTTTTCACTCTTATTTCTTTCTGTTTATATTGCTGAACAAATTATTTCAGATTTTTAGGTGTTGAAACTTTGCCATATTTCAGATTTTTAGGCGTTGAAACTTGCCCCCCTTTCTTCTCTGGCAAGAAAACTGTTGGTCACGTATGTTGGGGTTTTTTTCCCCAATTTGTGCACTATGTATGTTATGTTTGCTAGCTTTGTATAGAAATTTTGAGTTTGGCATTCAGTGTGAATTCGTAAGTTAGTGGAAACTATTCGCATACAAACTGTGATGCTTGCTGGTATTTTCGCTATTACATGAATATGGAAATAAGAAATGGTGAAATGAGCACTTGATTGATTCCTCAGTTGTGTATATATTAAAATTATTGTGATAGAGAAGTAACTGGTTTCTGGTGTGATTCGCAGTGGTGGAAGACATACACAAGAGAAGACAGCCATTGCCAACCATGGATGCCATATATTTTATCCAGCCAACCAAAGAAAAGTACAAGTCGTTTTACTTATTTTTCAGTTAACATATTTCTATCTAGCAGCCTAAGGTGGTGAAACTGTAGCAGTTATTGTGAGACTTTCACTGACTTATTTTTTATTTAAGATACAACAAATTAACCTACTAATCCAATTCCTATAAGCCTTTCAAACTGTGACGAGTGGATTTTCCTATTTGAGTCATCAGTCATGGTTTGAATGTGATACAATTACATGTTCGACATATATTATGGAGTATGGAGTATGGACTCCTTTACTTTGCATAGTATCCATTTAGGTAGCCACTGGTACCAGCAATTGTATCACCTGTCTAAATATGAATTGGAGCACATGCCATATCAATACACTAGTTACCATGTTATTCCATGTTTAGGTTCTATGCCACTTTTGCTTACACCATTCCAACTGGTAAAAGATGTATGCTCATGGCAATCACAACATTGCCATGTTTGCCCAGCCTTACATAATATGGTAATGGTAATCTCTCCCTCAAGAAGTGTGAAGCACAAGATTTTAATCAAAAGTCCTAGATTGCCTTCATAAACATTTTAACTGTTTTACCATTGCTTAGTGAATTTGGATGAAGAGAAGAATTACCATCCTCTTAGTGGCATTTGTTAATTAATTCACCACTTCCTTTCAATTTATTATTTCACTCCATAATTGTCATAGTTTGCTCCCTTACAAGACATATTTGGTGTGGACTCTCCGTTCTATGTGAGGTTTACCTAATACTGTTTTGTCTTCTTTTTGTTTGTCATAGATCTCTCATCCATATGTTTGTTTTGATGATGCAGCATTGTTATCTTCCTCTCTGATATGTCTGGAAGATCACCGTTGTACAAAAAGTATGTCAAAAGTATCTAAGTTTTTGTATTATGTTCTTTACCACTTCATGGATTCTTTCTGTTCACCTTATTCAAGTTGGACGGAAAAATTTCTTCAGTAAATTATTAAGCTCACTCGCATCCATTTCTTTTCTACTTTTGTTCTACCGTCAGGGCATTTGTTTTCTTCAGCTCACCTATTGCCCGAGAACTGGTTAGTCACATTAAGAGAGATGGAAGTGTTCTATCTCGCATCGGTGCCTTAAGAGAGGTTATCTTTACAATAAATTCTTTCAATTTACAAATTTTACACTTGAGATAGGTATGATTTTTATTCTCATTTATGATCTGTAATCTGCAGATGAACTTGGAGTATTTCGCCATAGATAGCCAGGTACATAATTCGCAACATAGTGTGGAATTCTTTTCTTGTCTCTAGAACTCAGTCTTTCAACTTCTATAACAATAAAATACGTAAATTATTTGTTTAAAATGGTGGGACTATTATTGAATGAAATAAATAAATGCATCTTATACGGGGGATGATTAAGTGTGTTTTTGGTGCAACTCGCTTTATGTCTATTTATGGATATTCTATAGACGGGGGATGATTGAGGGAATATGGAACATTGAGAATAATCGTATATGAGATGAAAATATAACGACGAAAGTAAATATGATGTAGAAAAATATGTATATGTGTATTTTCTTAAGATGGCAAATGGCGTGTATAATAGGTACTCATAAGGTGAACCAGTCACCCAGCTACTCAATTGGGTAGAGGAGGGGGGTAGGGGTGGGGGGTGTTTCTTTCTTCTTGTTGAAAAGGTAAAACCCACCCATGTGGAAAAAAGTCTTGGCAGGTAAAAGAGTACCCCGTTATGAATATGCACAATAGGTGGCACTCTCAAGCTTAGTGCATTGCCAAATTGATAAAATGAAAAGAGGAATCAGCCTGATGATTAGCACAAAAATAGAAAAAGGAGTCCTGGAGGACCACCCAACTTCAAATCCAATATTGTCAAAACAAACTGCATGTTATGCACAAAAAAATTGTCTTCCTGGATAAGGGGGTATAAAGAAGTTCAGTAGTCTTACAGATGTATGTGGGTGGATAGTGAAATTTGTAGAAAAATGTGTAACAATGATACACATTCCTTTTTAGAAGAAATGTGTAGATGTAGTTGGTGCAGCAAGAAACAGTAGAAAGTGATTGCTGTGGGCAATCACATTTTGGGTTTTCTCCGTCAATTCTTTTTTTGTTGCTGGTGGAGTGGTGGTGTATCTAAACCTACTTGTGCATTTTAATAACAAATTTTAGTATGTGTTCTTTTCTCTCAAGCTATTCTTGTTGAGTCGGAAATGTTAACATCCTACTGAATAGAATGAGCATTTTCAAAATGTATTGTAACTACAGGGTTTTGTCACTGACAATGAGAGAGCTCTTGAAGAACTATTTGGGGATGAAGAAAGCTCTCGCAGGGGTGATGCATGCTTGAATTTGATGGCTACCCGCATAGCTACAGTGTTTGCATCATTGCGGGTATGTGATCTAAGTTTGAATATTGAATTGTAACTTTAGCAAAAAACTCCGATTCAAAATTGATAGACATTGTCATGTAACAGGAGTTTCCAATGGTGCGCTACCGTGCTGCCAAATCCCTCGATCCTAGTACAGTGACAACATTTCGTGATTTAATTCCTACAAAACTTGCTGCTGCTGTTTGGAACTGTCTTATGAAATATAAGGCTAACCCCAACTTTCCCCAATCGGAGACATGCGAGCTGTTGATTCTTGACAGATCATCAGACCAGGTTCCTGACTTGCCAACCTATTTGTCAAAATCCTAATGGAGCATAACTCTAAATTATCATGTATGACATCTTTAATTCTTTATATCCACGTGCAGATTGCTCCGGTTATACATGAGTGGACTTATGATGCCATGTGCCATGATTTACTAAATATGGAAGGGAATAAGTATGTACATGAGGTAATTAGTCTCTGAAATGTAATTGCCGCATGTTGCATATTAGTTTGACAATTTCAATTAAAGCGATTGCACTGCTCAGGTTCCAAGCAAAACTGGTGGTGCACCTGATAAGAAAGAGGTTCTTCTGGAGGACCATGATCCTATCTGGCTAGAGCTCCGCCATGCGCATATAGCTGATGTATGTTGAACATGCTGAAAATTCAATTTATTTGCAATTGTTTGGAATGTCATGTTTGAAGGGCATTACTTTATTTAATGGTGTACTTTGCCAGGCTAGTGAACGGTTGCATCAGAAGATGACAAATTTTGTCTCCAAAAATAAAGCTGCACAAATTCATGGTTCAAGGTTCGCTTTTTATGCATCATTATAGATTTTTGGATCCTCGTGAAATCTGGATCTCGAGTTTAAATTGAAACAAATATTTAGCATAGTTTAACATTAGACGCCTCTCCTTGCGAAGAGGGCCCAATTAACTTATCTCCATTGCGGATTTTAATTATTGTTATATATTACAAGCCATATTTAGTATAGATTCGTCTTCTTCCACTATTTTGAATTTTGATGTATCATGCATAAGAGTTATCAAACATCTGTTTGCTAAACTTTATGTATTCATGATCCCGGAAGTCTAGATTGGTTGCTATTGTTTAAGCTTAACAACATTTCTGCACATCAGACTTATCTGGTATTGTTCGTTTTGTATGCTTCTCTTTATTTTAATTGCCAACCTTGTTCATACCAATTTCCCCATTTGAATAGGTTCAACACTTTCAATGAGCTACAAAAGAAATCTTTTGATTTTAAAGAATTAGTGCTTAAGGAGTTGGTGAGTTCCATCAATTTTCAGAATGAGATGAAAGAAAAATCAATTTAGGAACTCGCATACTTTTGTCCTTTCAAAGAAAATTTGGGCATGTACTAGATGTCACGTCTTCGTCTTAGCTGGAAGGACTCCAATATAGCTACTCATTAAATGTTTTGAAAAGCTCAAAGTATACTTTTCACAATCCTCCATAATGATGACAACTACCTTTTGATTTTTAATATTGTCATTTGGTTATTTTTATATTCTGATTTCTAATATTATAAGTAAAATCATAGAGATGGTGGTGAGTTGTCGACTCGGGACTTGCAAAAGATGGTTCAAGCTTTGCCCCAGTACAGTGAACAAATTGAAAAGCTTTCCCTTCACGTTGATGTGAGTCTCCTGCAATTCCAATTGCAATTTCTTTGTTGGTCGACTTTTCAAATCATTTCAAAAGAAGTTAAGAAATTATGATGCATGCAGCAGATAGTTTGGGGTGGATTGATGGCATAGTTCCTTTTGATAGAAGCAGCAGACCTTTTGGGCCATATTAAAAAGTTGTATCTTTGTTCATTTGGCATCATTTATTGACTAATACTGGGTTAGACATTTTTATGTTTTTTCTTCAGATTGCTGGAAAATTGAACAAAATTATCAGGGAATCGGGCCTTAAAGAAGTTGGCCAACTGGAGCAAGATCTTGTTTTTGGAGATGCAGGAACCAAAGATCTTATTAATTTCCTTAGAATCAAGGAGGTGACTCTTTTTATTCCTTTATCTCACTTTACCAATGACCACTTTTGTTAACTGATGTGTTTGAAATGGACCGCCCTTGGGCATTGGCAGGATGTATCACGCGAATATAAGTTGCGGTTGTTGATGATTTATGCAGCTGTTTATCCTGAGAAGTTTGAGGATGATAAAATCTCAAAACTGATGGAGGTTTGAACTGCTTATTTTACTTTCTCTTTCTTGTTCTTTTCTATTTTGTATTTTCATTTTCATTTTTCCCCTCTATGAAGTGGTCATGTAGGACTCTTTTGAGGGTTAATTGCATTCTCTTGCCGCAAGCCAATATTGCTTCTCGAATTTAATAACTTGGATGATTTCAAGTCAACAGTTCTATACTACTTTACATCTGTTTAAAATATTGTGTCATTGTGTTGAACTACCTTTGGACATCTTATCATAGTCAGACTCACTTCCTCATTTTCTCAAGCTTAAAACTTGAATTGTCGTTGCACTAAACTCCACGTTGTTATAATGATTACCAGTGTTTCTTGAAGATTGTATGAGTGCTGAACTTAACACGTGCATATACCTGATTTCTCATTAGCATAAGTTTGTAAATTAGCATTGTCATGGTGTGTATTCACTGTGGTCATTGCATTTTATATGTGCCACTCTGATAATTAGAGCTGCCTCAATATTGCTTCCTCTGATTTTTCCTGGACAAAATTCTTCTGACAGCGTGCTCTAAATCCTCCGGATCCTATGCTCAAACTGAATGATTGTTCTTGATGTGTTGATTCATAATGGCAGCCTATGCTCTTTGAATTGTGGTAGTAATAATATGTTCACTTAACATCTGGATCACATTGGTGCAGCTGGCTAGACTATCACCAGATGATATGACTGCTGTTTATAATATGAGATTGCTAGAGGCTTCATCAGATACCAAAAAGAGCTCAATTGTACCATTTTCTCTTAAGTTTGATGTAAAAAAGGTAATATGTTAAAATGATATGGTGTCTGAGTAACCCTAGCGTCTGAACTCAATTGTAATCTTTTAGTTTTCCTTGTTTGCAGAAGAAGCATGCTGCTCGAAAAGACCGACCTGGTGAAGAAGTGACATGGCAGTTATCGCGTTTTTACCCTATAATTGAAGTATACCATACGTTTTCTATTTTTGTGTTATGGGTCATCCTTATGGCATCTTTAATTGTTTGATTTACAACTCAAACTGGGAACAGAAATGGTGGCTGTTTTAGCTTGTGACTGACAGATTTGTAATTGGTAAACAATTTCATAATTGATAAAAGAAGGCAGAGACTAACAAGATATAGAACTCCTTTCGTCATGCATGTGAGAAGAGAAATTACATGGCGTTTATTTCTTTAATAATGGTGGTTTGCATCATGCATTATTGCTTGTAGAGGACTGAAACATCGTATTATTTTGCCACCTTGATAGTGACTTAGATGAATTGTATGCCTCTTAATTGTTTGTATTTCCTTGCAGGAGCTTATTGAAAAACTAAGCAAAGGTGAACTTCCTAAACAGGACTACCCTTGTATGAATGATCCTAGTCCGACTTTTCATGGAACCTCCCATGCTGCTTCTGCGAGGACTGCTCAAGTCTCTACTCCTCATTCAATGAGATCAAGACGAACGGCAACGTGGGCTCGTCCTCGAAATTCTGACGACGGTTATTCAAGGTACCCTAGGGAATTGGCTTTCCTACTTCAGTGGCCGGTAACCTTAAATTTGAATTTTAATGGTTTCTATTAGATCAAGTTTATATTTCAATATTTTTGGGTTGATTTCAGTAACCAAAGAGGTATAATTAGTCTGATGCCTGCTAATGATTTATATTATGAAAGTTGCTTATCTTTATATTTATTGTGTTACTTGTAGTGATTCAGTTTTAAGACACGCCTCTAGTGATTTCAAGAAGATGGGTCGGCGCATATTTGTGTTTATTGTTGGTGGGGCAACGCGTTCTGAGGTCTCTTCTCCCTCTCTCTCTCTCTATATATATATATTTGGGCATATCATGATAGGTTTTGATTTCTTTCTTTTTTTTCTAAGAGTTTGCCATAAGTTATCAACAAAGTTGCAACGAGAAATTGTTTTGGGATCATCCAGCCTTGATGATCCCCCACAATTTATTACGGTAGGAAACTGAACTCTTTCTGTGTGGACTCATATCTCCTTTATTTGATGACACAATATCCGCTCTGATTGAAACAGTTGTGGTACAATAAAATTGAATCTCAATTGTTATTGGATGCCATTTAGATTATTCGTTTCATAACGACTTGTTGGTTTCAGAATTGATTATCAGTTCGGTAAACTTTGGGGGATTAATCGATTGTTGAGCCTGTGAACAACCTATACCGCAAGGAGTATATAGAACTGAACTTTCCCCAAATCCCCCAGCAAAATTCGTACCAACCAGAATCATATAGAACTAAACTAGTCTCATACATTGTAATGTTGAAAGAAACATCCGACTTTATGTTTCTTTTTTCTTTTTGAATAGTTAAGGTGAACTGGCTTTTATATACTGTGGTTCCCTTTAGGAATAAGTGGAAATGTGAAAAGGAGCTAAATATGTGAAGGAAATAGAAACTGACCAATTAACATTCCTCTTTCCATTGGGTCAAACTTGGCGCATCACCTCTGTCATTAGTGTCTCCCATCGCTTCTAAATAAATGTCCAACATTTTTTGATGCGATGATCTGATGTATATTCAGACGTACAATTGCAAATTTAATCAGAGCAAAGGTGCCATCTAAATTTCTCGTTTCTTGTTGCAGAAGCTAAAGCTGATGACTGCTAATGAACTATCGTTAGACGATCTTCAGATCTAGATTTCTGCTGCTGATATAGCTGGATAAGCAATTTCATGTAAACCTGCTTCCCTGTCATTCTTATGGATACATATGTTTTTATTTGTTGACTTCCACTATTTACCTCTTTTTCTTGTTTTTGTGTTCGATTTTTTTTCGAATGTGTCACTTTGCCCCTGCTCACATATGCACTTGGGGGCAGTGTATTGTAATCTATTTTACTAACGTTTATGGTCAACCATAGGTGTGTAAATGAATTCTTTGAGATGGTGCAGTACATCTCGTTTAAGGCTACTTTTGGATGTTGTGTATTATACACTACACGTGACGAGCATGTTACAGTATAATTTCTCACTCGGTCAAGAGAAAGGGGAGTTGATGGTAGAAGACGGGGCAGCATAGATTAGTGTCATTTTGGGTTGTATATGGCACAGCTCGCCAAAAACCCTTTTCTTAAATGGTTGAGGAATGACCCATCTTATAGTTGTATTAAAAAAATACCTTACAAGTTTTCTTGCTTAACTTTGTACCTGCACATTTATAGAAGTCATAACTGGAAATTCCAACCTGTGTTTTATTAGCTGTTGCCATTTGTTCCGCTCATTTCATTGATTTGCTGGATGTAGGCTTTATTCAAAGGTATATAAAATGAGTTGAGCTCGTTAAAACTTGAGAAATAGAGGCTTTTATGTAATTAATCAATTTTTACATAGCTCAGTTCGTTTAGGCTCGAGCTCGATTCATTAATTTTAGTAAATGAGCCAAGCTTGGCTTGAGAACAGCCCCAGTGGAGCTCAAAAGTATCAAGAATTCGATTTTGGTAACTGGCTATTTTACAGATGTTTGCAAACATTGCAAATGTACCATTCTTTATTTAATGAGCTCAAGTATTAGGAGTTCAAATTTGGTAACCGAAGCTTCAGATGTTTGCAAACATTGCAAATATAACATGTTTTATTTAATCATGGCCGCTATCCGTCATTCTTACTAGTGCTTCTCTTCTGTTTTCAAGACCCAATCGATCATCAAAATGCAAAAGGTACAGAAGTGACTGGTTGATTGTTGATTTTGTGAGAAATATATTTAATAAGTTTAATGTTATCATTGTATCACATGTAACAGATTTAAATATTAAAAAAAAAACCAATGACAAAAAAAAAGGATAAAAAAGCAAAGAAGATCAAGTTAATGTCTGGTTGATTCTTACTGCATTTCACGAAAATATGCTTAACAGTAAAACTTTTGTTAGATAGACAAACATTTTATTTTTCCAACGAGAGGAATAAAGTTCCGACAAAGCACAGGTACAAGCAAATTTATAAGAGAAATAATTGCTCACAAAAATCACACTCAACCTTTGACATTATAGAGTAAATGCAATTGTACAACAATTTGCATGGAGTCATTTATCATAAAAGATGGACGAACCCTTACTAAGGTCGGACAAGGGAGCGCTCGCAAGTACGGATACCATAAACTTTAAATTTCAAAGACATGAAGTTCTATAACTGTGTAGATGCTCAAAATTGTTGAAAAAAAAAATAATAATAATAACTTTACTCCAAATAAGTTCTACTCATCAGATGAGGGGAATAAGATGTAGACCATCAGCTTTAGGATGCCTCCAATGTGTAGTTTAACCTTCAGTCCCTCTGCATACAGTCACTGCATCCATGATCCAAAAGACCAATCAAGCGGTCATGTACAAATAAATTCGGTTAATAAATAATCGGAATTGAAAATGTCACAGTGAAATGGAGAAAGTAGTCTTATGTCCTCTTATTTTTAGAGTACTCACACACACAAAGTACTACAACTACATTTGAAAGACAGTAAATTCATCACAAATAGTAAGAACAAATTGAAGCATGTACTCCAAATTACAATATACATGCAGTCGAAGAAATAAGTGTCCCAGTTTTTAGCCAACAGAATTTATGGCAGAATTAAGTAAAAATAAAAGGATTACCTTGAAATCATGACAAAATCAATCATCAACCTCGGCTCTGATTTCCTTGACAAGCTCCTCCTTATATTCTTCAAATGATCCAGGGAAGGCCTCAACGGTTCCATTCTCCACTTCCCATATCTCACTCTTCTCTTCATTTTCACACACACGTGATATGAGCCTGGAATCGTGACTGACCAACACAACTCCTCCAGTGAACTCATCGAGTGCATCTGCCAAGGCATCAATACTCTGCATATCCAAATGATTGGTCGGCTCGTCTAACAGCAGAATATGTGGCTTGGACATTGATATGGAGGTGAAGACCACCCGTGATTTCTGTCCTCCAGATAGCTTTGCAATTGGTGTTAGGTGATTATGGCTCGGAAGGCCAAACTTGCCAAGTTTTGCCCTGACAGCTTCCTGCTTGCTCAGCCCTTCTTGATCTGGATGCAGGCGAAGAAGATATTGTACTGGAGTCTCGTCCATCGTTAGTAGATCCACAAAATGTTGCGAGTATCTACCAATCCTTAGCTTCTGACTTCTTCTTACCTCACCCTCAGTCGGCTCCAAATCTCCAGCAAGAAGGTTGAGTAAGGTCGATTTTCCAGCACCGTTTGGCCCAACTATCGCGACTCGAGTTCCCATATCAATTCCCACATCCACATTTGAGAGCCTGAAATCGTCTCTGTTAGGGTAACTAAAGCTGACTTCAATCAGCTGCAGAAGTGGCGGCGTTAACTCTGTGGGCTCTGGGAAATGGAACTCCACAGTGTAATCCCGCCATTTTTGTGGGGCCTCTGGCAAAGGCTCATCTTCATCGACCTTGCTTTTACCCTTCTTCTTCGAGGCTTCCTTGGCAGCATTGAACTTGGCTCGGTCCTTGACTTTTTCTTGCTGAGCCCGACTCCCAGACCTCTTGGCAGCTTTTACCTGCTTGTCGTAAATCTCAAACTTCTTATTCATCTCTTTCCGGCGCTGCTCGTACCCAACCTCAAACTCATCGAAATTTCCCCTATAAAGGTGAAGTTTCAAATCGTGAAGATGGATAATTTCGTTGCAAACCGTGTTGAGAAAATCCCTGTCATGGGAGACGACCACGAGAGTTTTCTTCCACCTGCACAAGTACTCTTCTAGCCACAGAACAGCCCTGAGGTCGAGGTGATTTGTAGGTTCATCCAGAAGTAACAGTGTTGGCTGAACAAAAAGTGCTCTGGCCAATGAAATCCTCATCCTCCATCCTCCACTGAAGGACCTTGTTGGACGGCCCTGCATGTCTTTTGTAAAACCCAAGCCAGCAAGAATCTTCGAAGCCTGAGCCTCAGCAGCATCTGAACCCATCAGCTGCAACTTCTCATACAGTTCTGAGAGCTTCTCGCCCACACCATCCTCATTGTCATCTTCTTCACCACCCGACACATTTGATGCATCTTGCAAGGACGCAACTTCTTTCCGCAACTTAATTAGTTCTTCATTGGCGGAAACAACTGCTTCTAGTGCTGTCCGGTCATCGCCAACAACTTCTTGCTCGACCAAAAGCACATCAATATTTTTAGGCACAGGTATCTTCCTCCAAGCAAGAAGCTTTAACAGAGTAGACTTACCCTTACCGTTGGGCCCAACAAGCCCATATCTCTTCCCATGTGAAATCTTGACAGATGCATTCTTCAAGAGTTCCTTCCCGCGAGCGGAGACAGAGAAGTTATCAATAGTTATATCTTTGACGTTGGCATCTGCATCATCTTCACCATCGAGCACAGAAGCCCGACTAGCAATTACTACAGTAAATGCATCACGATCATCCTTGAGGGCCTCCTGCTTCGCCAACTCAGCAGCCAACTCAGCAACCACGTCCTTTTTTTCTCGTTTCTTCAACTCTTTGTTGCTTATGCTTATTTCAAGAGGCTTCGCATCACTTCTAGTCTGCCGAGTAGGCTGTCTGTGGGCCTCGTTCTGATTTTGCTCTTCCGCAGAGTCCAACACATCCTCATCCTCATCCGAGGAAGGAAGGTCAATTCCATCTATGTAAGACGCGACTTTTGGGGCAGCTTTGGGCTTTGGTTTATTGGAAGCACTTGTTCCTTTCTTAGGCTTTTCGGGTTTGGCATCCATGCTAGCAAGCATTGCAGATACGGAGAGCTTCTCCTTACCACTCTGTTTAGCCTTTGTGCCAGCTGCACCTTCATCAGATTTCTTCTTTCCCATGTCGCTGCCTGGTCAACAGAATTAGAATGTAAACTATTAATTTCTCTCAGAAAAAAAAAAATAAATAAAGAAAAATAAAACATACAAACAAATCCAACAGATAAACATGAGAAATTAGATTTGTCAAACTAAAAGCTATACAAGCTATGGTGGGGTGTAGCATTGTCAAGTGGGCCATCCTGATTTGCCACTGCGGGCTGTCCTAAAATGGGCTGGAGCAGGCCTGGCTCATATTTACACGGACAGGGAAATGCCCAGTATGAAGCCGTGAAGGCCCGAGGTCCAGTCGTGTTTAATTCATGCTTCTCGCCTTCTCCTATCCATTTTGTTTCATAGGATCTCTCAAAAATCATTTACTACTTTTGCCTACTTTAATAATGGCATCACACCATTGTACGAAGCAAAAGGGGATTGAGAATCTTAATAATGAAAAAGAAAAAAAGAAAAAGGGAAGTGAAACCATTCACTTGTAGATGGCTGATCTGAAGGTTGGTTCTCAGAGTATGCCTATGGCTTGAGACGGAAATTATCAAAAGAAAGGCAGCAGCAGCCAGCAGAAAATTAAAGTTCCACAGCAGCCAATTGAAGAGAAATTGAGAAAATATGAAGAGTGAGGAATGCCTGAATGAGTTCTTTTTTCTTTTCTTTACTAACAATGAGATCATTTCTTTACTTTTGGCTATAGAAGCCTAGCTGATAGATGGTAATTCGATCTTACTGGTGTGGGCACTGTTTACCACTTTTGAATTACACACACTCGCACACACACCCATGTGGGTGTGTGTTGAACTAGCGGTAATAAACACCCTCCCCAGACGGGTAAGGAAGGAACTTTCCCTGATATAGAAAGACGGATTGTGGGCTTAAGAGTTAGGTTAGTGAATATGTTTGGGTTGGACCTAAGTTAGGATCATATATTAACAAAACAAAGAGGGAGATGACAGCCATGTTGTACAAAACCTAGATTGCAGAAAGAAAAATTTATATATAAACCATTTCAATAACAAGTGTGACGATTGTGCAAAATCGATAAACACTGAGTTATGGATGATAGAATAGGTCAACCCTACCCAACAGTTACCTCAGCACCTCCAATCAAGCAATATCATTGACCTGGTTCCAATCAGATCAAATCATCCGTTTCATCGTGAAGGGCACATTACGGGTAACTTAAAAAGCGATTTGTTGGTTAGAATTCTGACCTCAGCTAAAAGAGTGATCCTTTTTTCAAAATTGAAACGAGAATATCAATTCAGAACAGCGAAATCAAAGAGCGCCTTCCAATTCAATCTCGCGGTTTTGACAACAGAATAGAAAATATTGATCAAAAAATTGACGGATGACGATCGATTAACATAACGAGAGAGGCGGGCCAAAAGGTATTAAAAATTCGATCCGCTGTTATAAGAACCCTAAACGCAACAAGAAAATAACAAATCTCTCATGTTTACAGAATTTTAACAGTTTTGATAGATGAATTAGAATAAGAATAAACAAAAATAAAGAGAATGGAGACTCACCAACTTGTGCGGCTATGCCGGCTAGGTTTATGAAAAGTTAGGTTTTCCGGAAAACGCGGCGCAGCGAGCTTGGGGAGTGACAACCAATATGAAGTATGCAGCAGCTGATGGTGGATTTCA